CACAGGCCAGCGCGGATCCCCCTCCCCAGCCGCGCTCCTGGCCAGAGCCCCCACCCCTCTGAGAGAGCTGCCTCACCGCGAATCAGATTCTCTGGGGACCCCATCCTTCTCCTCCACCTGGGCCCCACGGCCCCGAGGGAGCCGCCAGGAGAAGCAAGTGTCCCAAGATCCCCTCCTGCTCCTGATGGGACAGTGTTCTTGGGTGAGGGCCCCGCCTTGGCCTGTAGGGGCCCTTGGAGCTGCTCCCGGCCACTCTGGGGGGCGCTCCCCAGCCTGGCCACCCCACGAGGCAGGGCCCCGACCCGCAGATGCTGACTCCAGCTCTCAGGAGTTATTTCCAAAACCTTTATGTCGATTTTAATTATCCGCAAGATAAAGGTCACTGCTGCCTTGGGGGGCTGGGGTGGGGGACTCGTAACGGGAGGCTGCGCAGTGGGGAGATCGGCGCTTGACCTCTCTGGGAGGAAACGTCGATTAATTATCTTTTTACAGCCAACTCAATTAGACTCCCTAATCACCTGTGTAGGACGTGGAGACAAAGGCAGAGCGGCGGCCGGAGTAAACAAGCCTTGCGGAGGCCGGGCCGCGACCATCAAACGGCCGCCGTGGGCCCGGGCGGAGGGCCAGCCACAGGCTGGAATGTTTTCTTCATTTAAGTGAATAAAAAAAATAACTGTTATCGGCCCTGAGGGGCCGAGAGCCGCCTCACATGGAGGTGACCAGACACACTGCATTAGTCTTTAGAGCAGGCTCAATTAGCCGAGGAGCTGGTCGCTGCCAAAGGCAGAGGACTCGTGGGGCCGGGTCTCCACGACCCAGGGGGAGAAGAGGCCGCGCGAGTGCTGGGCAGGGCCGGGTGGGCACCCTCGGGACCCTTCTCGGACGGCCCAGGTCGCCGGACAAGGGCTCGCTCTGGGCCGCGTGCTCCCTGCCCACCCGTCCGTTTGTCCAGTGTGGGGCTGGCCTGATGGGGCCTCAGATGTTGTCTTCGACACGACCATGGGGCAGGACCTGCACAGTCCCAGAAGCCCCTGCCAGGAGCCCCCAGCCTGACCTCCGCCCCACGTGTCCACACAGGCTGCAGCCGGGGTGGAGAGGCCCGGGGAGCCAGCCCAGACACAGATGGTCCCCACGTGGCCGCCTAAGGCTGCATCCAGACTGCAGGCCTGGGGCAGGTTTGGTTCATGGTTTTATCCAGAGGCTTTCAAACTCAACAGTTTCCAAGGAGCCTGTGTGAGAACCAGGTCCTCAGGGAGCTCGTGGGGCCTGGCGGGGAGGGGTGGGCGCGCAGCTGATCAGAACCCCAGCCCTGGGGCCCGCAGCGTGGACCAGGATCCCCGGCCCCTTGGGCTGCGCTCGGCAGGGCCCACACCGGGGGCCACGGACTGTTCCTGACGAGGAACCTGACACCTGCCTTCCCTGTCCTTTACCGAAGCGTGGAAAATGGACTTGACACAAAGCCATTGTCCCCGTTGGCCCACGTCCTTTCTGGATGCTCAGAAAATAAAGGTCGCGCTGCTGCCCCCGAAACTAGCACTCTGACGCGGCCCTGTCCTCTCCTGTATGTGCGTCCTTCTGAAGGGGGCACTTCTAAAGGGGGTCGTGCACCCCGCCAAGTGGCTAAAGCGTCCCCTTCCCCCAAACGCTACCCGAGTGCACACTGCTGTCTCCAGACTCCCTCCTGGAGCTCTGCGGGGCTGGACTCGCAAATGGGACATGAAAGAGGGGGTGATTCTGCTGGCAAACCCCAAGACGGGGGCACAAATGTGGGAGGTTCTTCCTGAGCCTGTCTCTGATGTCCCCCCGCTCCTCGCCTCCAGAAGGCTCCCTGGCCAGGCTGTTTGTACCGAGGGGCCAGAGTGAGGCCGGGCCGCCCCCGAGATGGCCAACAGGGACCCCAGCCCCCGGGGCTGAGGCGGGCAGCCCGCTGCCCACACAGGGTGCCTCCCCCCGGGGCTGCTGCTTCTCATCTTGCGGGGGTAGCTCAGCGGGGTGGGGAGTGGGGGCCCCTAGGAGCGGCCCGGGGACGCGGGGTCTGACGGGAGGCTGACCTCACGATGCTTGGGCGCCGGTAAGCGCCGGGCGGCTGCCGTGGAGGCTCTGCTGAAAGGGCGGGCTGTGCTCGGACTCCCAAGCTGCCGCCGCAGCCCTTTTGCCCCCTGACGCTGCCCGTCCTAGGAGGACCGGCCGGAGCTGCTCTGTGCGCCGCAGGCCCCAGGGCTCTCAGCACAGGCCTGGGCAGAGGCCTCGGGGGCCACGAAGGGGCCCAGAGCGCGGCAGCTTTCCAATGTGAGGGCCACCTGCAGGGGCGGGAGAGGCCGGGACAGTGGTGCAGGACCCTCCGCTGGGCCGGTCCAGAGGTCGGAGGTCTCCAGACGTGGCAGCAGGCCTCCCAAGAGGGATGGAGTTGGCCTCGGGATGAGGTGGTGCTTCTCCTGGCAAAAGCGAGCTCCCTGCCCTGCGTTCTTCTGGGAAAGATGAAGGGTCTCTGTTGTGTCTCTAGGAGCGATCGGGTGAGGGAGAGAGCGCCATGGGCCAGCGGCCTTTACGAGGAAAAGGAAGCTGGACCTGAGGCCCCCAGAAAGGCCCGGCGGGGCCTGCAGACCGCCAGCCACGTGTGCGGTGAGGGCCAGGCCCTGAGGAGCTGGCCGTGGCCAGGGGCGCGGGCACACACTGAGACATCACCCCACACGTTCTCTGCACACGGGAAACTTGCACACAGATGCACGCAGTCTGCACACGAGGGTGCACACAAGCAGAAACACTCCCGGTCACCCCATGCTTACACGCCCTGGCGGGCGCACACTCAGCCATGCAGCCTCTCCCGGCGTGTGAGCTCCCACCCGCACGCGCACGCCTGGCCCACGTCCCCTCTGTCCCGGGGCTGGTCCTCAGCCACGCCCCACACCTGCTCCTCTAGCCTACCCTGGGCATCCCCCTGCCAGTCCAGGCCTGACTCTGCCCACCACGGGGCCTGGGCCGGGCCTGCCCCACACCCACCACCGCCCAGGACAGTAGCGACCCCAAGCAGACCCCTCCCCAGAACCTTCACCAGGGGATCCTGGACAGGTCAGGGTGCGAGGTGTGCCCTGGCCTCTTGCCCTCCTCAAGTGTCCTCCCCGAAGTGGCTCCTGCATCCCAGGGGCCACACTGGGCACCAGGAGAGCCCCATGCCCCTACCGGCTGGGCAGGGGCCCACTCAAGCACTGTGCCCACTCCCAGTGGATGGAGAGCACTGGGGCTGACAAGAAGAAGGCCAGAGGCCCTGTGACGCAGGGTGAGGGCAAGCAGGGCTCTGACCGCAGGAGACCAGGCGCCCCTGCTGGCCGGTCCCAGGAGGGAGAAGGGCTGCACACGGGCAGCTGGGCGGGTGGGATGTGTCCCCTCCCATTTGTGCCTCAACAGTCAGAGGCTAAACCCGAGGCAGATCAGGACACGAATGCAGTGTCTGTCCCTGCCTGGCCTGGTGGCTTTCGGCGGTCTGGGGTCTGTCCAGCAGATGGCCTAAATCCCCCAGGGCCATGGGGAAGGGGGCCCACCCTGCCCCAAGCAGGGCTTCCTCACTGTGGTGTGGGCGTGGAGACCATCTTGGGGAGCCCCCCGGGTCCCCCCTTGTACAGGCCTCTGAGGCCAGAGCCAGGGTGAGAACGACATCTGAGCTGGCTCTGCGCCTAGTTCTAGAGCAGAGTTTGCTCCTGCCAGAGCAGCCGTCCCCCCGAGGCACATCCACGGGGTGTAGCACCAGCAAAGCCTGACGGAAGCCCAGGCCTGTCTGCCTCTCTCCTTTCTCTGCAGGGTCCCCCAGAGACCTGCTGCCTGGGGTCCTGTGGGTGCTCCTGGGGTTCCCGCCCTGTGGCAGGTGCTCCCGGCCCCAGGCCAGGAGCTGCAGGAAGGAGGGGAACCAGGGAGCCGAAGGGGAGAGGGGCTGTGGTCTCAGGTCCTGTGGCCGCCCACCCCTCGGATGCGTGGTTTCAGGCAGACACGCCCCCTCACTTTTGCGTTCATCCCACTGGTCCTCCCTGCATTGGCCTCGGAGGCATGGGGGTATCTGTTCTTGTCAGGGACATTCTCTCTGTGTGGTAGGATTCCTCGACGAGAAATTTACAGCACAAATTTCCCTTTAAAAATATGGACCTTTCATGCCAGCTACTCTGCCATAATTAACCATAGACAATTCATATTAAAACATGTTACCACCCCAAGAGGCAATGAAATTTCCAGAAGTTCTCTGCTACCCATTCCGTCACTTTTATTGTCACGATTGGATTAGCGGCAAAGGGCACCTTGATTTTTAAAATCATTTTACAATTACGGATGATTCTTTGTAGATCCCATCCGATGAATACTCAAAACCATTTGTTCAACAAATGGAAAAGAGGGACCACTCAGATCAGCTGGAAACATTTCCTGGGAGGGTTTTGTGCATTTAAAAAAAAGAGAGAGAGAGAAGCAATCTGAGGTTCTCTCCCTGCTACAGCTTTATTAGGTTCCCAAATCCAATTTACGGGGGATTGTCTGGGCCCCTGGGCTCCGCTGCCTGACAATGTCCCTGCAGCAATTATCAGCACCTGCATTAGGGCTCAATGGGCCTAAATTGCCAGGGGGCGAGCAGACACCCCACTGACGGCAATTAACATAAAAGGGCGCTACCGTTTAAAGCTGTGGGTGGGAATTACAAAAGGTTAAGCGACTAAATATAAAAATCTTTTTGAATATAACATCAATGTGCTTTGTTACTAAAATGTGGGTGCTGTAATTTCACCAAAATAGGGTTTAGAAAACCTGGCGATCATCCACGCCCATGAAATCGCCTGTTCTCAACGAAAAGCACATCGTCTGTTCAAAAGTTAAAACAATTCAGCGACTGAACTATTTCATATCAACAAAATAATCGAATACTGACTTTCACAATTACATATTATTGACACGGGGCCTCTGGAAAGAGAAAGCGTTTTCTCTCTTCGTTTTACTTATTTGCGTAATTGGAAACCAAGATTTTAGAGAGTTTACTTTCTTAATTGTGGGTTGCATGGGTGAGGAAAAGGGCCGAGAAGCTGGTCCTCGTGGGGCGAGGGCGAGGGCCGCGAGCTGGAAGGCGCCGGCGTCTAGCTCCACGTTCTCAGTGACTGGAGGGGCCAGGCGATCGCGGCTGGGGAAATCTGGGGGTACGGCGGGGCAGCAGGCTGGGGACTGTGCTCCACGTGCCTTCCGGTGTTGGCACACGAGCTTAAGAACTTGGAGAAGCATGGATACTTGCTTTTAAGTGTTAGATGCCGCTTTGCTTTGGTTTCCCGCTGCGATGCCTCCCTGTAGGGCAGCTCCAGCCCCTTCCCTCTCTCCTCACCCTGGCACACAACCTCCTGGTCGCTGAGAAAGGAAACCCTGAAGTAGTCAAAGATCTGACCGTGAGGTGGGCAAGGACATCCTGTTGAACTGGCGCATCCTTCCTGTTTGGTTCTCGGAGCGCGGCGGGCGGGGCCGGTGGGGGACAGACGGCAGGGGTGGGGTGGGGTGAGGTGAGCTCTGGGCCCGCACCCAGCACTACCCCCAGGAGCCAAGGCTGCAGGGGAGGCCTGCCAGGTGTTCTGTGATGCCGAGCCCGGCGTGAAGGCTGCTTGGGGAGCAGACCTGGTGGCCAGGCCCCCACCCGGCCCTGCCTTTGCCCACCCCTTCGGTTAGGGAAGGGGACCCCCTGTCCAGGACCAGGGTGGTTGCCCTCACTGTTTTTTGACCGTGAGCTAACCCTGAGACAGAGAAGCAGGGCAGGGGCCATGGGGCCGGGGCTCCCTGTGGCCCTCAGCAGCTCCTGATGCTGTGGGACCCCATCTCCCACACTTCCCATCGGTCTGACAGACTAAGCTTCTTCACCTCCAGCCCCAGTTGTACCAAACCCATTGATCTGTGCCTTACAGCCCTGTCGTGGGACAGGGGCATGAGATAGGGGGACATGGTGCTTTCGCGCAGGAGACACTGCCTACAAAGAGATGTAGAGGGAGGGCACCTGCCTTGTCCCTCCCTGGAGATGGCAGGAGGCCCAGGGCCTTGCTCTCCGCTGTGAGCTGAAGGCGGGTTCGCTCCTGTGGCTTCCAGACCCTCAGGCAAGCATGGCTGAATGACACGAAATATCCATCCTCCGTTCTCTGGTAACAGAACCTGATCTTGGCTGGCAAATTGTATTTCTTGTCTCCTTGTGGCCTGCTATGGTCACGTAACCAGGTTCTGGCCAACGAGGGGTGAACGACAGGGTGTCCTGGAAGGGACGCTTCTTAGAAGGGACCAGCCGTGCTCCCTCTGCTTCCAGTTCCCACTGTCGGGAATAGGGGCCTGATGACTGGCCCCTGTGCAACCCCCTGGGGCCACGAGGTGGTGCAGGAAGGACCACAGAGGAGAAGAGGCAATGAGAACAGGGAACCCTGGTGATCACGGGGCCATCACCCCTGCCTCTGAACGTCCACGTGAGCGTGAACATCGGTGGGGTCGAAGCCACCACTCTGCTGTCAGAAGCAGGCTCCTAGGTGCGCTCAGGAGCATGGACCTGGGGTGGGGGTGCTCCTGGTGAGCAAGAGCGCAGCCGCGGGATGAGGCTTCAGTGGGAGCCGGGCTCCTGTTTGCTTGTGTGGTGGCGCGTGCTCTGTCATGGGAGGGCGTCCAATGGCGCCTGTGACCCGGGGCTGAGCGGGAAACCCTGGGCTTGGAGTCTGTGTGCTGGGAGAACATTTCAGTGGAACCCTTTCTCGGGGACAGAGGAAGGGCTTCCAGAGGGACAGTCACCTGGGACATGTTCTGCCCCAATCTATTTTAGGCATGTATCGACTGATCTCTCGGCCTGAAACCCTCTGGGCTGCGGTCTCTGCCCTGCACTTCGGAGGCCTGTCCGTGTGTCCTGGCTGCAGGCTGGGGGCCACCAGTGGGTGCTCCCCAAGACTTTCAAATGCACGCGGCAAGTGCCCATGGCGGCTTCAGCAGGTGCCACCCTCCCCATCCCGAGGCCAGCGCACGTGGCTGTCACCCAGGTAGGCAGACACAGTAACTCTTGGCTGGAACTCCTGGCTCACTGCAGGCTTGAACGGGGCTCAGGGGTCCTTGGCGAAGGTCTGGCAGAAGGAAGAGAGGCGGGATCTGGGAGCCATGCGAGAAAGCGCTGCGCCAGGCCAGCAATAAGAGTGAGAACGACACGGTTTACGGTTTGGCTTTGAGAACACAGACGTTCACTCGTCCGAGGGAAAGATTCCTGACTTATGTTCCCCGTGCGCGTGGGGGCTGCCATGGAATGTCACACATTTTGCCGTCTTTTAGGACAATGGGTAAAGAGACCTTATGAGTTAAAGATATCTATCCCCATATAGTCACAGAATAAGCCACTTCATTAAAAAAAAGAGAGCGAGAGAAAGCCTTGCCTGCTTCCCACCCAAGCAGCTCCAGGTCTCCCTGGGGCCATTTCTGGGTTTTTCTCGCCGGCACGAGGGTCTCGCGCACTGCTGGGCTGCCCCACGGCTGGAGCCTCCTAGACACCACGCAGCAAGCTCCCTTGGTTAAGCTATCATCATGCGGGTTTTCTCTTGCTTATGGCTGACCCTATCCTACCCGCGGCAGAGCTGACATTTACAACGGCTTCACCCCTCTTGGCAGAAGGCACCAGAGGACAGCGCCGGCCCGTGTGTCCGTGACCCAGAGCAGACCCAGGCTCCCGCCAACACATCCGGAGGCTCGGGCACCGGCCGGGCGAGGGGTGCTCTGGGGCAGCTGTGGGGACAGGACACTCAGTGTGAATGTCCTCCAGAGCGTTCCGGGGTGGACCGATCCCCATGAGAGGAGCAGAAGCACAGGGGACCCTTCCTGACCCCCGGGCAGGTGTGCAGGTCGCTGGAGTGCCACCCTGTAAGGGGACAGGACGGGCTCACCATGGGGTTGGCAATCTTGGGGGCAGAGGTCGCTTGTCATTTTACAGAAGAGGAGGCCTGCACAGAGAGGCTCAGCCATAAGAGGGCAGAGAAGCAGCAACCCCACGTCTGGCGTCAGCCCCCAGACGCACCTGGCCAAGGACCGGGGGCCTCGGGTTCGGCTGCAGAGCTTCCAACAGGCAGCTGGGATGCCTGTGGAGCTCAAACCTGAGTGCGGAGCGTTCTCACAAAACCAAGGGCATGTTCCCCCTGGTCTCTCCAAAGATAATTTTCTGCGGCACCACACCCCCATCCTAGCAAAGCTAGAAACATCTCTGAACGTTTTGGCAGCCTGAGAGCAGCCCCGCGAGCATGGGGTGAGGCCCGCTCCCCGAGCGGTGAGCCCCCCAGACCTGCACAGTGGGCCGGGCCCGGGCCGCCTGCACCAAACATCAAGGAGCAGACATGGCCCCGCTTTCCGGGCCTGGTTTCCACGGAGACCTCATTACAGGCTCTGAAATCCCTCCCGGTGGAAGGCGTGGCGCCCAGAGAGTGTTTTTACGCGGAAATATGAGAACTCTTCTGCCCTGCAGTGTAAAATTGCTTCTATAAACTGGGCTGGAAGCAGACAAGGGGTCATGGCCAGGCCCCCCAGGGCTCCACCCCATGAGCCTCAGGGCCCCCGCCTGCCCCTCCGGCATGGGGCTCCCCGCAGCGAGGGCCCAGGCCCGGGTCTGGCCATGGGCCTTGTCGCAGCACTCCGGGTCCGCCTGTCCTGCTCTGTGACTCTGAAGCACCCGTCTGCGGTGTCCAGGGCTGGGATCCTAACTGCGGGGATGGGCCCCCCTTCAAAGGGTCGAGAAGAGCGTGAAGGCCCCCACAGCTAACGTGCACGTGAATTTGCCCGATGGGGACCCCTGAGCCCTGTTTACTGAGCTTGCCGTGGTCCCCGAGGATCTGGTGCAGCTTCCTGGGGCGATGGCGGGCACAGGTGACCAGGCGGGACCCCATGGCCATGCTCGGCTGGGCTGCCTCGGGTAATGCAAACGCTCCCCCCAGTAAGATGAAGGCTGTATGACTGACGCATCAGGCTGTGTGGGAGGAGTCACGGCCCCGGACACAGTGAACTGCAGAGAAGAAACTTTGATTTACCTCCTGAGCACTCGCTTTCCGGGAGTCATTCCGGAATAATCCATGGAAAAGCCAGGCCAGGCACTCCACGGCAGCAGGTTTTCAGGCACCAGGAGCCAAGTGCATGTGGCGATGCTGTGTGCTCTGGGCAGACGTGGAGGCAGCCGGAAAGCCAGGCGAACCCGCACGACCATTAGGGCTGCAAATGGCGGCTGACCTCGGCGGGTGGGGGCCACGAGGCCCGGCTCCTACACTCGGGGGTCCTGTCCAGGCTGACCACAGGCCTCCTGGTAACCGTGGCCTTGGTGGGTTTGCCTCTGGGCCTAACCCTCGGTCTGACAGATGCAGAAACAACCCTGAGACCATCAGCCCAGGCTGCATTCTCCCACCAGGCTCCTGGAGCGCGAACAAACCACCTGACTTTACACTGACGGCGATGACCAGACATGCCCGTGGAGAGTGCGGGACGGCCACTGCGGGGGGGCCCCCGGGACCGCTTGTTCCCCACCGCACCGTGGGCACTGGGTTTGCACCTGAGGGGCCTGGATGCCCAGGACAGGTAGCTCCCAGCCTGCCCCTCAGCCCACAGCCACGGAGACTGGCCCTGCAGAGCAGAGGCCTGCGCAGGCCCGGCAACATCTTCCTGGGATGTCCTGTCTCCTCCAGGGTCACTGTGCCTGGCTTCTCTAGGCTTTATTTTCCTCCTGCCCAGGTTCCGGGGCACCCGCTGTTGCCCCACACGCCCCTAAGCACTCATGCCACCTACCGCCAACCAGTTGGCTAACTCCACTCACCGGGAAGGCCACTGGGCATGTCCCTCTGGCCCCGAGAGGTGTCTGATGGCAGCGCTGGCTCCAGGTCCCCCGTGAGGAGTGGCGGATCTCCGGCACTTTCCAGGGCAGCTCTGGGCTCCAGGCCCCCGGACTTGGGACTCCGCAGAGGATAGGCAATGCAGTCAAACCCACTACAAAGGGAATGGGTGGGACTGGGCTTTGCTGGACGCCAAGCGGAGGGTGACACCTGGCTGTGGGGACACGGTGGCCTAGGGGCCCTTCTGGGGAGGAGGAGGACCTGAGGCAACCCTCTGAGACTAAGAGAGCGGGAAGGAGGGAGGGAAGGAGGAGGAGAGAGTCTTGCTCCGGGACCATGTGAACCTTGCTGCGGCCCCAGTCCTCCCACCCCCGGCTCCCTGCCCGGCCCCCACTGCCTGAAGGTGCCCTTGCTTCTTCTCCACTAGACCAAGCATATCGTGTCTGACGCTCACTGCTGGGTGCCCAGTGCCCTCGGGTTCCTGGCTGGTGTGCGAGTGATGTGGAGACAGGTATGGGTAGAGCAGTTCTGGGCCATCCCTCCTTGTCCCCCAGGCCACACGGGTGATGTCCAGGGTCGCCCATACTCACAATGGGGTCTGGATGGGTGGCTCTCGGTTGTCCTTGTCCACTTTGAAGAAGCTGACCTCTGAGTAGGCCGGGAGCTGCACATACCTGACGCCGGCTGAGATCTTCAAAACCCGGCCATCCTCGCCTTGGAAAGGAGAGAGAAGCAGGCTGTGCCAAGGAATGGCCACCAGAACCCAGGTCTCTCCCTCCCTGGTCCTGGCCTTGGCACCTGTGAGGAGCTCGCAGGAGCAATGCTGGCCCAGGCCACACCTACATTCAACTTGAGCTCCCTGACCCCCTTCCTGGCCTCCCTGCCCCGACTCTTCCACCCCTCGCTGGGGAGCCTGGGCCTCAGGGTTAGGGTTAGGGCCTAACCTAGCTGTGCCCCTGGGAGGGCCTCTCCTTGTTGGCTGTCCTCAGGGCTTCACCTGCTCAGGGGCATGTGGGTGCCCTGGCCACGAGCAGACACACTGGAGTTTTGTCTCCACCATGATCCTGACTCCAGGGAGACATTGCTGCTTTTTACCCATCTCCCACCTCTGTCCCCCTTGTCTACACTCCCGAGGCACTCAGCACAGGGCCTGGTCATGTGGACTCTGGGTCCAGTGCAGAAGGACAGCCAACAACCACTGAGCAGTATCAGTGAAGGCCCGCTGTCCAGCCCCTGTGGAAGAGGAGACATGGCAGGGCAGACACTGCAAACACTCTGACTTAGAAGGAAAGGAGTAGAGAGCCACGGCCCACTGGGGTTTGATCGGCCTCTGCTTCTGGTCACCACAGAGTACCTGGAACCAATTCATGCTCCTACTTGAAGCAACCAAAAAAGCAGACAAACTATAATAATAATACAATGGTTTTCAAGATCCTGGACCTCAGGCAAGGACAGAGGTCCCTGAGAGATGGGGGACAAATGGTGTGGACTCTGTAACTGCCCAGGTCACTTGCTTGAAAGAAGGTGGACTGGGTGCAGGGAGAGGGTCTGAGCAAGCCCAGGAGCCTCCTCAGTGAGGAAACAGGGCCGGGAGGCCAGGAGGACAGGCACACAGTAGGAGTCCCGGAGTCCTGAAGGCAGAGGAACAGAGAGGTGAGGGGCCCCTGGGGACAGAGCAGAGCACAGATCAGTGCACGAGTGCGAAGAAATGCCTGGAGGCCAGGCTAAGCACCACATGAGAGGGTGGGAGAGGCCTGGGCTTGCATGGGACTGGGAGTAGTGCTCACTCCCGTTGGCCACACTGGATGCCACGGCACACCAGACAAAGCTCTCAGAAGGTCTTGCTTCAACAATGGAGATAATGGGTCTCAGACGGAGCTCACCTAACACATCATAAAGGCAAAACCTGAAAGGATCAAACTGTCTCTGTGTCAACTGTGCCCCAGAACAAAGTCCAACAAGAGTTACGGGAACACAGAAATACCCAGCCCCCAAATGGTAAAAGTCTCAATGTCTGGCACTAATCAAAGATTACCAGGCAAAGAATGCAGAAAAGTATGGTCCATAATGAGGAGCAACCAACTGAAACCAACCCAGAACTGACCCAGATGTGAGAATTAGCAGGAAAGCACACTTTTTCAAAGTTTTTATAACTGTATTCCATGTGTTCAAAACATAAGCAGAGACACAGAAGATATAAAAACAAAGTTGAACTTCTAGAAACAAAAACGATGAGATAAAAAATATACTGTATGTGATCAATGACAGATTAGATATTGCAGAAAAAAAGATTCATGAACTTGAAAACATACCTATAGAAAGTACCCAGAATGAAACACCAAGAGGAAAAAGGAAAAAAAAAAAAAAAAAAAA